AGAGGGGATATAAATATGTAATAAAGTTACTTAATAAATTATTAAACTCAAACTCCAAAAAAAGAAAATGCTAAGTGAGAGATTAACACATGAGTGTAGTCTTATAAGGTTTGATTATAAATTCAAAATGCATACCTTACATTACAACTTTAACAGACAAATCAAAATATGGGACAAAAATAATTTCATTTTTGAATTAACTGTATTAATACTTTGTATAAAGAATTGGTGTTATCTTCCTAAAAGAATTCACAATATAATGAAATATAAGCCATTCTGAATCATATCTTATCACCATTCTCAAACTAAAACTTAACAAAAAATCAATTTGTCCATCAGGATCCATATTTTCAAATCATACATATGTACATTAAAATATACTTTCCTGATGCCCTTTTCTAATTTAGTTCAATGTTCTTAGCATTCTTATACAATATACCCAAAAATATGGTTAATGCCTGAATGAGTAAATGAATGAATGAATGTCTAAATCAAATAGGGAAAAAAATACATTACCTGTAGAAGGAGAAATTGTAAATGCCATCTTTTTATCTTTGTTTGCTGGTAGCCATTTAAATTGGGCAAAATAATTTTTCCGATTATATATCCTTATTATCCCCTTAAAACATGCTTTCGCTGAGAAGTTATATGGTGTCAATACCAGCTCATTAGAAGATAGCTCAAGCTTTACTGGCTGGATAGCTGCCATCACTAGGATGTGCCCACCAGGTATGTTGTTCACAGTAAAGGTGAAAGACCTATAACACAGCAAAGTCATAAAAAATTAACTGATTAAAGGTATTTTGCAATTATAGAATTTATATTGATTAACATCCACAATTTGTTCTTAGCATGCAACATTTAAAAAAAATTACATAAAGTAATTAGACTACCATCAAAATGTGAATCTATAAATACATGCACATGTAGTTTCTGTGTTTTGGGACCTAATATCATATATATTAAAATTATCTGGCAACCAACAAACACATGTGCTACTAAAGGGCAATAGATTCTAACAAATAGAAATGAAAAAATAAATCTTACTTCCAAAATTTTCCAATGATGGATGATTTGAATATTATTGAAACATAAGTACTAGTAGTAGGTGGAATCACATAAGAAAGTTGTTCGGTCTTCTGAAGTTCTTTTGAATTTATATCTAACTTGACCAATACATGAGTAGGTAGTGTATTAATAACATGCAGTGGACGAATATTTGTGGAATTCAGACACACATCACCAAAGTTAAGGACAGAGGGTCCTGAAATAATGAAAAATTAATTATTAAGTTTAATGTAGGCAATAGTAGCCATTTGTTTTCAAGCTTTCATAATATTTTGATCAATCAAGTTGTAAAAAACAGTATTTCTAAATTTTTATTATAATATTGGGAAGTATTAACCAAGCTGTTTTTTCTTAAATCTAAATGACCATAATCCGATATTTGGAGATTATTTATTAAATTCAATACAAACAATGGAAGAAGCAGTCAAGACATCAGACTACATATGTTGTTGTTGTTATTATGGGCCCTCAAGTAGGACCCAACTCATAGCGACCCCTCCTTGGGTTTCCAAGGCGGTATCACTACGGAAGTAGATTGCCCAACCTTCCTTTTGAGGAGTGGCTAGTGGATTTGAACCTCCAGCCTTCTGGTTAGCAGTCAAGTGCCTTAGGCACGATGCTACCAGAGCTCCTCAGACTATGTATAGCATTGGCAAATCTATTGCAAAAGACCTCTTTCAAGTGCTAAGGAGCAAAGATGTCTCCTTGAAGACTAAGGTGCCCCTGACACAAGCCACGGTATTTTCAATCACCTCATATGCACGTGAGAGCTGGATAATGAATAAGAAAGACCGAAAAATGGTCGATGCTTTTGAGTTCTGGTGCTGGAGAAGAATGCTGAAAGCACCATGGACTGCTAAAAGAACTAACAGATCTGTCCTGGAGGAAGTGCAGCCAGAATGCTCCTTGGAAGCAAGAATGGTCAGACTTCGTCTCACCTACTTTGGTCATGTTGTCAGAAGGGACCATTCTCTGAGGAGGATATCATGCTTTGTAAAGTGCAGGGTCAACAGAAAAGGGGAAGCCCCTCAACAATATGGATTGACAGGGTGGCTGCAATAATGGGCTCAGGCATAGCAGGGATCATGGGGCTGGTGCAGAACTGGGCAGTGTTTTGTTCTGTTGTACAGAGGGTCGCTATGAGTCAGAGATGACTCAACAGCACCTAACAACAACAACAAAGTTTCCTCTTCCCCTTCTACAACAATAATTATGTCTCAAATACAAACCAATCCACTGCCATCGAGTTGACTTATGGCAAACACATGTGTTACAAATTAGGACAGCGCTCCACAGGATTTTTGCTCCAGGCCTTTCTTCCACAGTACTGCTGAGTGGGTCCCAACAGCCAATCTCTAGATAAGTAGTCAAATGCAAGCTATTTGCACCACACAGACAAACCAAACAACCAAACCCACTGCTATCCAGGCAATTCCAATTCATAGTGACCCCCATTGGGTTTCCTAGGTGGCAGATCTTTACAGAAGGAGATTGCCCAGTCTTAGTGGCGTAATGCCTAAGGCATTTGACTGTTAACCAGGAGGCAGTTCAAAGCCACCCATCACTCCTTGGAAGGAATGTTGGGCAATCTACTTCCGTAGTGATATCCCCTCAAAAGCCCGAGGAGGGATCACTATGAGTCGGATCCAACTCGACAGCAGGGAGTTTTGACTCCTTCTACAGAGTGGCTGGTGGGTTCGAACCGCTAACCTTCTGGTTAGCACTCAGATGCCTTAGGCACCATGCTATAAACTCAGATAGGGTCTCTGTCTGCATAGAGCCATTAGTAACATGTAGAGGATACCAGACTGAGCTAGGAAGGGAGCTTTGGAAGAGTTGTTGATGAGGTTGTATTATATTTTGACTTTGCTCCTTTTGCGTTTGTATGTTATCTGTTTATCTTTTTAGTCAGTTACTCATTTGAAAGGCACAGAGCATTTACAACCTAACCCATCCACTGGCCTATGGCCATCCAGTAGATTTTGACTCATAGTGACCCTATAAAACAGAGTAGAACTGCCCCATGGGGTTTCCAAGGTTATAAATCTTTACTGAAGCAGACTACCACATCTTTCTCCCACTAAGCAGTTGGTGGGTTCAAACCACCGACCTTTTGGTTAACAACTGAAATGCCTTAACCACTGCATTACCAGAACTCCTTTATAAACTAACAGTGAATGGTAAATACTTAGGGCTATAAAACCTGGTACCTAACATATTCCTGGCACAAGAAGATGTACAGTAAATGAAGTTTTGACTAAAGTGAACTACAGGGACAACCCCAGCCAAGCAATGAACTAATAGTACCAGACTATGACACACAGGTACATCATTTGCCACTATGTGGCAAGGAGAACTAGTTTCTGCGCTCTTAGGGCATTGGGTTCTATGTCCTATTCAGAATTAGTGGGTGAGAGGACTCCAACTCCCTCTGCCAGCCCATCTCAACCCTTTAACTCTGAGCCAAAACTAATTTTTGTCATTTCTCATAGGTCTTACTGTTCTATGATTTGACCACCAACTAGTTATCTCAAGTGATTACCACCCAGGTATTTAATCACCCTCCCTGCTTTGTCTCTGGATTTGCATCTCCTTGGACATCTCCTTTAGTCTAGATAACATCATAATTCATAATAAAAGTTTTATGTACTGGATTCTGCAAGGGACAAGGGCAGTACATCCATACCAATTAATCATCCTCTGCCCACATCTCTCTCAAGGTCATTTCAATCTTGCCTAGAATAAAATGGGAACTTCTTCAGTCCAGTATAGCCACTATTTATTTAACCCTAATCATCCTTTAGTAGTCCCTGGGTGGCACAAATGGTTGACAAGCTCATCTGTTAACTAAAGTCTGATGTTTGAATCCATCTAGAGCTACCCTTGTAGAAAGGCATGGCAATCTACTTCCACCAAAGATCAACCATGGAAAACCCAATGGAGCACAGTTCTACATTGACATACATTGGGCTGTCATGTGTCAGAGTCAATATGGCAACGGATTGTTTTCTATCAGTATAGCATGTATGAAACAGAAGAGAAATCAGCAGAGGATCTTATTAAATTCTGGTTAAATTGTACAATTTTTACTGACATAGATTAAAAAAAAATCTCTTTTGTATTTTAAAAAGCCATGGGGTGGGAATTGTACACTGGCTGAGTAAGGAACTCTTCAAAACTTCTCCCCCAAAAGCAAAATATAAAACTGGACAAAATCATCAAAAACAACCATTTAAAGACTCTAGAAATTGATCAAAAGCACACAACAAATTGAGAAGCATTTATTTAAGAATATCTACTAACCCTCTATAAAAACAATGTAAGTCTGTAGAGTTTAGCCTAGTGCTACTCCCATTACCCACACCCACCTCTGTGGTACAGAAGTGCTACCAGAGGGTGAAGAGACTAACTTTAATTGGGGTAGAAGATGGCAAATTCCATCCCCTGGGGCATTGTAAAAGATAATAATGAACTCAGTGGCAAACAGTCAGAGAAGGCCAGCATCATATTGAGGTCTCAATATGGACTGGATTAAGCAATACATTGGCAGAGGAGCCAGAATTTAACAAGAAGACCTGGAGAACAACAGTGAAAATGGGCCTTGATAAGATCATATATATTTATACGGAAAGGTGAAGGACCCAGAATAGCTAAATTAATCCTGAAAAAGAAGAGAAAGTTTGGAGAACTTACGTTTACCCATTTCAGAACTTATTATAAAGCTGCAGTAATCAAGGCAGTGTAGAACTTTCATAAGGGTAGACATGTAGATCAGTGGAATACAACTGAGAATCCAGACACGGACCTTGACATATATGGTCAACTGATTTTTGACAATGATGCCAAGGCAATTCAATGAAGAAAGGATAGCATTTTTAGCAAAGAGTGCTGAGACAAATGGATAGCTACATACAAAAGTATTAGTTTATATCCTTAACTGAAACCATAAACAAAAATAAACTCAAGAGACATTGTAGTCCTAAATATAAAATCTGAAACAATAAATATTTCAGGAGAAAATATTTGTGATTTTGGTTTTAGGAAAAGGTTTCTTAGATATGATGCAAAAAGCACAATGTATAAAGGGAAAAAAAATGGTAAATCCAACTTTACCTAATTAAATCTTTTGTGCTTTAAATCATGTCATTAAAAGACAAGCCACAGACTATCAGAAAATATTTGGAAATAATATATCAGATAAAGGACTTGCATACAGAACATATAAAGAATTCTTACAGCTGTACGAGACAAATATTCAAATTAAAAATTGGGCAGAGGATTTGAAAGACATTTCTCCAAATAAGGAACTGCACACGACTTAAACAGACATTTTGCCAAGTGATCACAAGAAAAAAATATTCAACATCATTAGTCACTTGAGAGATGTAAATCAAAACCACAAGGAGCTACCACTTGAGAACCACAACCCACAGGTGCTACCAGCAGTTGCCTTCAAGTCAATTCAGATTCATGGTGAACCATTAGCAATGGCTGTTGTCAGAAAAATAGGCAATTGTAAGTGTTGGTAAAAAGGTAACTTGGTGCAGCCACTTTGGAAACTTCTGCCAGCTTCTTTAAAATTAAACATAAATTTACCATTGCAATTCAGCAGTTCAACACCTAGGAATCCAACAAAAATAAATGAAAATGTATGTTTACTGAAAGAATTTTATGTGAATGCTCACAGCAGCATTACTCATAATGGGCCATAAGTAGATGCCCATCAACTGGTGAATGGATTTTAAAAATGTGGTATTTCGATAAAATGGGATACTAATCGGATATAAAGAGAAACAAAGTATTGATATATGCTACCACATGAATGAACTTCAAAAACATCATGCTAGGTAAAAGAAGGACTATATCAGAGATTGCATATTTATGATCCATTTACATAAAATGTTCAGAATAATTAAATTGACAGATAGAAAGTCTGTTAATGGTTGTCTGGGGCTAAGGTTGAGATTAGGGAGTGACTGTGTGAGTCAGAATTGACTTGATGGCAGTGGGTTGGGTTTGGGTTTTGGTATGTGGGCATGAAGCTGATGAAAGTGTTCTAAAGTATGATTGTGATAATGGTTACACAACTGTAAATTCACTAAAATTCTTTCACCTGCATATTTTAAAGTGGTGAAACTGATTAAATATAAATTATATCTCAATGAAACTGTTAAAAAAATTATATAAAAAAGCCGTAGTGAACTTTTATAGATTCTTACCAATATTTACTTGATGAATTTGCTTTGGTGTCAAATTTAAACAACAATCTTGTATTTCTTGGGGTGTGAGTGGTTCTAATTTAAATCCACTTAAAACCTGTGGGAAAAACACAATTTTTCCCCCAACATTAATATTAATTGTTCGATATTAGCAAAAGATGTTGTAAGAATTCTTATGGTATAAACCCATTGCTGTGGAGTCAATTCCCACTGATAGCAACCCTACGGGACAGACTAGAACTACCCTATAGGGTGTTTCCAAGGCTGTCATCTTTATAGAAGCATATTGACACATTGTTCCCTTACGGAACTGCTGATGGGTTTGAACCACCAACATTTCAGTCAGCAGCAAAGCACAAATGTAAAATAGTGCACATGCCTTTTTCTTTAAGGATTCTGCTTCCTTGGCCTCCATATTTTTGGTACTTAACAATTTATCCTTTTTGCTTTGATGTTTTGTTGAAGGTATCTCCTCTTCTACATCTGCTCCTGTGATGTCAGGTGGCTTGAAACCTGATGTTGACTGTAAGTCCACGTCTGCATCATCACAGGGATATTTGTGTTGCCTATTAAAATAATAATAATAAACTGAGGTTAAATCTTTCAGAAAATATTCCTGGAAATCTAAATATTCCCCATAGCTTGCACGGTTGGTGCTTCATTCAAATCCAGTGAATCAGACTGGTGCACTTATCTGCAGAAAACCACTCTCTGCTCGGGGAAGCCCATTCTCAAACATCTGATGCCGGAAGTTAGGTTCACTCCTACTGCATCGAGGGGTAGCCAGTAGACCATTTTGGCTCAGGTAAGAATGGCAACTATGTAGTATAATTCCTGATCCAGAGAACCTGGGGACCAGCTGGAGGGAAAACTTTATTTGAAACATATTCTTCCTCAGCTCCCTCCCCTGACCTATCCTGCTTTATTTATCCTGTACACATTTCTCAGGAAAGCACATGCCACATAAATCACATGCACTGGACTCCTTGTCTCAGGATCTGATTCTGGGAAAACCGATCTAAGACATCCCCAAATCAAAAAAAGGAACAAGTAAAATAATTGTGGTTAGAGTAGCTCAATGCTTTGTTTATTTTGTATATTAAAATGTCACCTCAATTGTTAAAAGGAAAAAAAAAATTAAGAAGAAAACAAATTCTGGCTCTGTAGGCACAATCAGTCTTAGAAGCCGGGATGCCGAGACCTCATTTGGCCTACTCTTGCTTGACACATCATCAGGAAAGACCAAATGGATCAAAAGGTCATTGTATTTGGTAAAGCAGAAGGTCAGCAGAAATGAAGAAAACTCTGCATGAGATAGATTAACACAATATTCTCAATAATGGTCTCAAATGTATCAAAGATCATGGAATTGGCACAAGACCCAGGAAATGTCTTGTTCTGTTATACATAAGGTTGCCATAAGAGTGAGCCAACTGTAGGGCGACCAACAACAAAAAAAGGCACAATGATCTGTTTCGTACAGTTTTATTGTATGAAGAAGTGAAATTTACCTCTTTGCTTGTTTCTGTAGGCGCGTGTTTCTTGAATATTTAATATAATTGTCATAGTGGCTCCGATGTCCCTTACGGCCTAATTCTTCAGATTTAGTGTATGCAAAATCAGGATCTATATAATGATATCTTGCCATTTCTGTGAAAATTGTCCTAAAATATAAGCAAGTCAT